GGTTAAGACCCTGTTAGCAGAACTGGATGCAGAGCCACAACAGCCTCCTACAAACCCAGAAAAAGAGCAGGGAATTTGCTGTCCACTTTTCCAGAAACAGGAGAAGCAGTCAGCACTCACCAAGGTATACTGGGGAAGAGAGGAGTCAAGTTTGACCCCAACTTGCAGCATTGCTTTGACAGGACAAGCCCAAGGGAAACCACAGCTGCACTGGGAAACAAACACGCTGTATCAAGTCACTTCAGTAATGAGATACCACACTGAAAACCACTTAGCCTTTAGTATATTCAAAACAAAGCGAACAGAAGTTATTCTGACCCAATGCATATATTACCGGCAATACCCGTAAGAGGCCAATTGCTTGGCAGAAGAGGGTGAGAAGTCAGAGTTCCATTTAGAGACTCAGAATTCTGTTTGTTTGTTACCAATCCAATATTAGTTTTGGTGGGTTTTTCCTCTTTTTTAGCACGGTTTTCTAATTTAAATGGAAAATCTAGGCCCATCCTGCTGACAACTGAAAATATATTTATTAATATGCTCTATGCTACTACGGAAGAACTGTTTGCAGAAAAAGTCTCTGTACTTCATCTGGATCTCTGTATGTCTGAAGTGGTAGGGCATTGGAAAAATCTCTCTGAAGCTGAACTCTTCCCGTCTCATTACACTCCAGAGCTAATAGCCAGGCAAGATAACTTCAGCAAGATCAGATAGCTCCAAACTATTGCTCTTCTCTACTTAGAAACACCATTACATTGCACATATTCATATCATTCAAACTATTATTTTCCTAAAGCTGTTGGCTACCAACAGCTTGTAGAATCAAACAAGGTTGCCAGGAGTACTCTACTAACGCAGGTTCCCAGCCAAAAATTTTAGACCTTCCCCAGTTCAGGCAGATGACAAGCAAACATGACTTAAACATGTCTTCGATAACACATGAACTCTCACTTCCTTGATGAAAATCAGGTTCCTTCATTTCATTCCCACCAAATGGTCCTGGCATTGCTGCTGAGAGAACAGGTGACTGGCAAGAGCCCTGGAGGACCCGCAAAAGAAAGGAGGTGGGACAAACCAGAGAAAATAAGTGAGCCAGCATGGTGCTTTTTCCTTCCACCTCTCAGAACAGCAGCAGCAACTTGCAAGGGGATAATTAACAGGATTGACTATTTACCTGAGGATGAATCTGTGGTTTATCACATGTAGCCTCAAAATCCAGCACTAAGAAGTAGTGATATCTCTGTGGAGGGAAGGATGACATTGCTGCCATGGAAGCTCCAAAGCCGTGGGACGCCAGTTTCCTGCTTACAATGGAGCCGTACCCTTTGAGAACACCAGCCGGGAGGAGGGAGCACACAGCTTGTCTTGCCCTTGGAAGTAAGTTTTGGAGAAACTTTGGTGCTCCAGTATGGAGAAGTGCTATCATTGAACATCCAGAGGCATCTGAAACTGAAGACAGACTCACATTACTCATGCATACATACATTTCATCTCTGCTAGTATCTCTTCACCGGCCTCCTCTGTCAGGGATTTTCTCTGTGCTTCCCGGTGGAGGTTCCTGCATCGTAAACCTGAAATAACACAGTAACCTGCTCTAAGCATGACAGACGACATTTGGACTGAGCTCAAGGTGTCCAGAATCACGGGTAACTGGAAATTAACCTCTGCAAATGGCTCTAAATTAAGAACTATGAGACACACAACAGTCATGGCTCCAGGCATCAGATCACACCC